TGAAAATTGAGTGAAAAATATCCAATATAATATCTTGTCTTGATTCTGAATTACATTCTAGAATACTTATTAATGCACTACTTGAATCTGAACAAATTAAAACCTCCCCTTCTTTTGTTTCCTCAATCCATTCTAAAGCCATTAAGATAGCCAATAATTCACCTGTATACACTGCCAATTTATCTGTTATTCTTTTATTCCTCATAATATTTAAATCTGGGATTACAAATGCTATACCTACTTTATCATTTAATGTTTTAGAAGCATCTGTATATTTTTGTATATACTCTGAATATTCTTTTTTTAATATAACTTTCCACCTCTTTTTTTCAAACTGTCTCCCTTTTTTCAATAAGTTTAAATCAACATCAGCATGTCCAAAGATCCATGATGGAATAGAAGTAATAACAACCACAGGTATGATTACAAAGTTATCTATTCCTACATTTTTTACTTTATTTATAATTGTCCATCCAAGACTATTAATTTTTTTTCTTTTCTTTTTCTTGACATGGTTGCAGTGTAACATACGGAGGATGAATTTCTTTATGTCCTTTAATATTTACCCAGTAATTTAAGGCTAGTTGTTCTCTCCTGAGCTCCAGTGGCATCTCACCCATCTCCACTTGTAGAGCGGAAACCGGTGTAGTTTTCATCGCTCCATAACAAAGTCTTAATGCCTGATATTGTTTGCTATTTTCTTTAATAAAGTACTTGAAGCTGAATTGTATACTATACAACCATAATCAAAAATTGATCTAATTAGTCCAATATATACTGTCTTTAATGCTTTCCTATCTGCTCCCCAATCTTTTCCTCTCAAACATCTCATTATATTAAATTTTTTTTTTACTTTTTTCAACTATTTTATCTATATGTATCTTCCATGCAAGTTTTTTTTTAGTCAAACCAGATGCCCAGATATTTAATTTGATCTATCCTTTCTATAACATCCCCATATAATTTGAGATTTTCATTATTGTTTAATTTCCTTTTTGTAAAAGCAACACATTTAGATTTAAATGTTGAGAACCTAAAACCCCCATCTAAAGCCCAAGCTTCTACATTCTGTAATGCTTCTTGTAGTTTCCTATTTACAAACTCTATATTTTTCCCCATCTTCCAAATAATACCATCGTCTGCAAGACCAAAAGCCTGTTAATTTCAATTAAAATCAGCTGTGCTGGAGCAAGGAAACCTCTAAAACCTGCAGGACAGCGGGCCTCAAGGACCAAGGTTGGAAATGCCTGTTTTAGATGTTTCCCAGCTTTCACACACCTGTTATCAATTGATAGCAGATTATCAGGCTTTGTTGAACTGCAATCATCTGATTCAGGTGTGCTGAAGCTCAGAAACATCCAAACATGCAGAGCAGTATGCCTTGAGGACCAGGGTTGAAAAAACACCTCTCTATTGGCACTATATAAATAAACTGAATTGAATTAATCTACAGGCTTTTTCTTGTCACAGTGTTCCACAGCACCTTCTCCCATGAAATCCAACAGAAAGAGCACAACTTGTGGAAAATAACACATCTACCTTACAAACTAGAAATAATTGGAGCGATTATTAATAACTAAGCCCAAACAGGGTCATAATACTCTTAAACAGTACATGAATAAGAAAAAATACATAAACACAATCCCCCACCAAGAATAATGAAATATCACATAGCTGCATTCACATAGAAAATAGTAATCAACAGGCTTTTTCTTGTCAGTGTTCCACAGCACCTTTAACCATCAACAATACTATTCTCAGCACATGAATGTAGCATTTTCATTAGCAAACTTACATGTAGCATAAGAGCAGCTAAATAACTGCTAACATTGCTGTTATTTCGCTGTTTAACAAAGTTCAAATGCTCCTAAACATATTTTCTAAGAACAATAATCAAGCTGTCACTTATCATGCTTAAAATGCACTAATTGAACACAGAAACAAAACTTCTTACCATCTCCCATGGAATCCAACAGAAAGAGCGCGTTTAATGTGGCAACACATTAAATTTATATTAAAATAATAATTTTGAAATAGGAAATTACGAGCAGGGCCAAGCTCAATTTGCGGCAGGTGCAGCGTTGTGAAAGTTCCGGTGGCACTTCCGGTGGCACGCTCTGACTCGCTGGTAGGCTGCTCCATAGATATCCATAATAAAGGCCTTTATTATGGATATCTATGGGCTGCTCCATAGATGGGCTGCTCCGGAGGATCCTAAGCCGTTGGTAAATGGGACGGTCTAGCCTTTGGTACGGTGGCTGAGAAGTGCAAAACACATTTACAATTCAAAAACAAATTAACAAAATACAAAACAAAATAACATTTGAAGAAACAAAATTATATTTTATGAAACAAATGTATTTTTGAAAAAAAGTTTACATTTTTAAAAACACATTTACAATTGACAAAAACAAATTAACAAAAGACGGCTACACGGAAAGGGAATGTCCCAGTGGCCGGATGTGACGTCACGATTACCCTGACTTGTAGTACAAACAGCTCAATCTGTAGTCCTCCTGCTTCACGTGAAAAGTCAGCGGCGATTTTATTATTGTGGAGCAGATTTCAGCCTGTTCATCCTGCTCCTGTTAATCCCACTCACTTTGTCTCCTCGTCCAC